GGGGGTGAGCTTTTCTTCTTTTAATGAATTGAGGGGGGAGGGGCTTAGTTTATTGTAATGTGAATGTATTTCCATCCTTTTTAGGACATAGTTTCCCACTCAGTCTGGGTTGTCCTTGGCAGATAGGGTCATTGAAGTCCTCCTTCAGTTGGTCTAAATCTTGTTGATTGGGGTGCAAACGATTCATTTTCACTGTTGGGCCCTTCTTTTTTAACTCTAAGGGGGGGGGGGGGAGTTATTCCGTCCCGTTTTTACTATTCTTCTCCACTTTATGGCGGCTGCTGTGTGGTGTCTTCTTTAACTTGGAACACTTCATTTCTCCTACCTAGTTTTAAAGCGACTAAACAAACTACGGGTTGTTTTTTGAAGCTCTGGTCTTGTGTTCCCCCCTTTCCTCATTTCTGTTGTGTGTTGTACTCATTTCTAGCGAGTGGGTGGAAGGAAAGACTGGTAGATAATCCCCCTCATACCCACCCCACGTTCTCCCATCCCTGTTGTATCAATTTGCCTCGCTCCCCTTTACTTGTTCAAAAGGATCAATGTCCTTTGTCTCCCTGCTCCAATTGTCTCTGCACTCCAAATATCGAATGGTATAGCACAGAGAGCCATACCTGATGCGCTCTGCCAGTTGATAACCGGCGAATTGCGTTTCTCCTTTCGAATTCACGCATGCGAGTAAAAGGTAGAGTGGTTAGATTTTTTTTCTGTTTTGTTTTGGGGGTGCGAGTTTGTATTTGTTATTTTGTTTTTAGATTTAAAAGATGCTTTTTGTTTTGTTTTGAGGTTTCTTTTAAAGAGGAAAAAACATAGAATTAACAAAAGCACACAGGGGATTTCCCATTATCGACTGTCATGTACTTATTTTCTATGTTGTTTTGTGAGTAGCTTCCCTTTGTCATCTACTCATGTGTTGCCGGGTGGCTGGGAGATGAAGTCTTTAAGTTAGTCGTGCAAGACAATTACTTTGGATGACATGGAGGCCTCAGATGGTTTAGATCCCGGCGGCTTTAACGGTATAAAGTGGATTGGAACGAGTTTTCCACTTTTTAAGAGGGGCGGATCAATATTTGACAGTGCTGCCTTCTACTTTTTTTCTTTTTTTAAAAATGTTTTTAGTTGTGTGGTTTTGTTTGTTTTTTTTTGCTCTTGGTAGCAGCAACAAACCTGGAATCTCAGAAAGAAACCTGACGCCTGGATGAGCGGTGCTCGGGCTATTTATTTTTTTGCGACGCTTTAAGATCTGTTCTGGCCAGTATCCCTAGCACTATCTCTCCCTTCCACACAATTTCTCCCTCTCCCGCCCCTTTCACAAAGCCGTGGGGCCTGCATTGACGTCTGTCCTTAATTAAGCTCTGTGCGTGTGAAATGTTTTCCGCTTCCCCAAATATTGGTTAGCCTTTATTTTATTTTTTTCAACCCACAATTCTGTTAGGGTCCCTAGAAAAAGAACAAGGTTGATCCTGAACGCAAAGCAATGAAGACACATTAACTCTAATTTCCACCTTCATAATATTCCCATTAATCTCCCATTTTCTGACACTTAGCTGCTAGCCAGCTCTGCACTCCAGAAAAAGAATGGAAGAAAAAAAAATTTTTTTTTTTTTTTTTTTTTTTTTTTTTTTTTT